AAAAAAAGGCTAGTTTAATGTGGGTGGTGCAGGCACACCTGTAACCTGAGCAGTTGGGAGGATGAGGAAGGAGGATCACGGGGAGGGAGAAGCCTGGGCTACGTGGTGAATTCATGGCCAGTGTGAACTACATAGTAAGACCATCTCAAAACATTAAAAAGAAGGACATTTTAAAAAAAGAAAGGTGTAAGTCTAAGCCTTAACTTTGCGGCAAATGATGTAGCCAAGGCCTTAATAAGATAGGTAAATGATTTGGTGAAACAAAAATACAACAAACTCTGGTTTCCCACCTACAACTGAAGATTTCCCATCATACCACTGGCCTTATCCTCATGAATCTGGTGAGGATAAGAGGGCAAAAGGCCTGAGGGTGGGGTATGACCTTACCTAGACAGGTCTAGGCTGTGAGGTACTCTGGCCAGGTCATTAACCAGTCCTTTCTTTAGGAAGAGTCGAATGATGTTGTTCATGCCATTGTGCTGAGTCTTAGCTGTGGCACTGCTGTAGAAGCTGGAGGTGGAGGGGCAGGACTCCATGATAGTACTGATGATACACATCACTGCCTGAAGCCTGGGAGAAAATTTGGACAATTCTATCACATGAATACAGCCGATTCTTGAACCATGACAATAACTGGCCTCAGATAACTTGTGTTTCTTTCTGGAAGTAACATCTACACAGGTCAAAACTATTCTTTGGGTCTTAGCATTCTCCATGTATTACAAAAACTGTATTTAAGTTAAATAAACAAATGCAGACCTTATTCAACTTCTTGAAGACTAGGAAAAATTTTTTTTACTTTCTCTGCTGCTTGCTAACTTTCTCCAAAAATTAGTACTCTGGGTATTTTGAAGCACCATTACAACTGTTTAAAAAGATGAGCGTGTATGATGCTAGTATGGCTAGAATTGTTGTTCCTAACCAAAAAAACTCCACAGTCCAAGAATGAAGTAAGGGGATAAACTTGGTTACCAGCAGTAGGTTGAGCATGAATTTTACCTGGCATGTTTCTCTGTACTCTCAGCCATAGCCAATGCCCGTCCCAGGGCTGCTTTTACTTCATTGACTAAGGCAACCTGAGCATCTGTACCACTCCCTGCAGCAGCCAGGCTTGCGAGGAATAGACGGGCCAGGGCAGGTGTGTCCTTGTCCTCTGCATTTTGGGTGTGTGGGAGGAGGTGGTCCAGAACAAAGGCTAGTACACTGCAATCCTGAAAAGTCAATTGTGACATTTACTCACAAGTATAATTATGTCACATCTTTTGCACAGCAACAAAGTAGAAACACACATACTTTTGTTTTAAGTCATCCAGTGATAAATTATCAGGTCCACTTTAGATGAGGAAACTAAAGCTCAAAGGTAGAAAACAGATAAGTAGCAAATCAATTATAAAGCTTTTGACAGCCTTTACAAGTCTTTAAAATCCTGCTAGTTAACATTTATAGACATCACTTTTTCTTCAAACAATTTATGTATGATATTTAATGGAATGTTTACAGTAAGCCTATAGATACATTAAACTAAGGATTTCTCCCATTGGACAGATAACATGAGGCCCAAAGAAAAGTGGTTTGCACTAGAATTAGTAGAAGACTAAGGTTTCTAATAGTGATTCATAATTGAGTACTACAATCCCTCCAGAATTCCATTAAATTGTACTTTCAATCTGCAATATGCCTGGTGTGAGTTGCATGGGAGCATAGTCAGACACAGACAGACAAAAATATGTATTGCCTGTTACTTAAAATAGCAAAAGAGGCCCAATTTGGTCAAGCAATGGCCGTGACTCATCTACATGGCTGACACTGACAAAGGATCTATGAAGTACAGTACAGGGTTTCGGGATAAGTCCTGAGGGGACTTCACTGACCGTGTCAGATACAAAAGCTACATTTTTTTGTTGTATAGGCCTTACTTTATTTTGGTCTTAAATCATCCAGCAGAAAAGTATAGAATTGAGGTATGAAAAGTGAAGCCATGTTAATATGCTGAGCTGTGGAGGGCTCAAGTCATCAGATTCGGACATTGCCAGTCCTGTGGATAACTCACTACTATTGTGGACTACTGGACTATATTGGAATATTTTGCTGAATTCATGCACCTACAATACTTGGATGGCAATGGAATACCCATCTCTGACAAAACTGAAAAAAGGTGATATAAATGAAGAACAATTTCGTATCTGTATATACAAAATAGTTAGGATAGATCTATAGCTACTTTCTCCTAATTCAGTAAGAAGAAAGATCTGTACTAATAGTATTTGGACAGAATATCATGTCTGCATCTTGTGCTATGAATGAGTACTACAAAGACAACAATATGCAATGTATTAATTGTAATTCTAAAAACCTGTTTTGAAGCTGTTACACTGCAATTTTTTTCTCAATAAAATTAATTTTTAAATAAGTGAAAGAAAGTCAGTGAGACTATTCTTTATGACTTATGCTCTAGTAGTTCATTTTAAAAAGACAAAGAAACTTTAATTTTTAAATTCTGTGGTCTTTTAAGCAGATTTTGGAACTAGACAGAACTGAGAGTTACATAATAGTAAATATAGCAAAACAACTATACACTTGAAAATGGTCAATTATATGCGAATTTTACCTCAATAAAATGCAATGAAGAATTCTACACTGGAAAATTAAAGTAAGATTAACACAATTATTAAAAATTTTTAAAAAAATTAATTTACAATAAAGTACAAAGTTAAAATTGTTTTCAATAACAGTATAAATGTCATATGATGTTATTAACAAAAGGAGGGAAAAAAAGCTTTGCAATTTGAGAACACAATGTGACCAAGTACAGAAGTTATAGCTTTGTTATTAGAGATCTGGATTCAAATTTTATCTCTGCTACTAGCAAGTCTTAGACATGTTATTTACCTCTCTGGGCCTTTTCTCCTCTGTTAAAGAGAGAATACTGACAACCTTACATTGTGGAGGTAAGAATTATTAATGGTATTTTCAAAACACTTATCAACAGCTAAGTACAAATAGGTCACTGGAGACATTAGACAACAAGAATAAAAGATTTATTAAAGCCAGGCATGGTACTTTGTACCTCTAGGCTCAAGATATTTGGAAGGCTGAAGCTGGGAATATTGCTTGAGCCTTCAACACAGGAACTGGAGATCAGGTAACAAAACAAGCCCCCCTCACCTCAAAAACCAACCAAAATTACAAGATATTTCTCAAAATAGAGTATTTAAATGGTTAATACATCAAAGAAAATATGGTCAACAGACATACATTCCAACCATACTGGAATCCTTACTATATACTTACTAGAGTGGATAAAATGAAAATTATTAAATGCCGGCAGAAGGCAAACAATCAGAATATTTCTATGCTGTTGGTATAAAATTTAATTGATTCAAGTATTGGGAAAAACTTTTGGCACCAATTTGCTAATTCTGAACAAATGCATGCTCTAGAGCTAAGCAACTCTACTCCTAGCCAAGTACCACACAACAAAAATGGTTTTTTATGTTTATATATACATGTAAAAATGCTCACAGCATTAACTTGCGATAGCTTCAAACAGAAAAATATGCACCTTTTACATTAACAGTATAACAGGTAAAAAAGAATTTACGTATCCATACAATGTTAGTTCTGCACAGTAATGCAAACAGTAGCGTAAGATTGAATGTTACAAATATGTTACAAAGCAGTCAAATGCAAAAGAGCTAATACTACAGGATCCATTTATATAAAATGCAAATTCAGTTCATGTCAGGAGGGGCAGGTAACGGGTGACAGTTATCTAGGGAAGAGTTGACTATTCGCCTAGGAGCTGTATATTTTAACTTATATGAAGTATAAAATTTTTTTTGTGAAGTATAAAATTAAAACTCACAAAATGAGGTCCCCCACAAGAGAAAACCTCATTGGACATTCATTTAACATATAAGGGAACATTACATATTCTCTAAAAGTGCCCAACTGAAAAATTTAACCCGAACATAATTTCATATTATGACATACAAGACTTCATTTATAAATCTCTACTGATTTAGACTGTGTCTTTTTAATGGCAATACTGGGAACACATGTGGTGTCTTTGCATGTGTAAGTATTCGTGGAAGGCAAACACCTATACCTTCTTTTTCTTTCCCCCTGTATTTTATTTAGGGAAGGGTCTACAGGATGTTCAGGGTCTCACTACTAGGTTGGACTCTTCTGTTTACAGCCTCCCCAGTGCTGAGATTACAGATGAGTGCCAGCACGCCCAGTCTCAATTGACTTCTCAGTCTGCCCTGGGGCAAGGCCAGCATGACAGGCTGGGGAAATCAAACCCTCCCCCCACCCCTGTGCCTGATTGCAGGTGCTTTAATCTGCTGAGCTATTTGGCTGGCCCTCTACCTTCTTGTTTATACTACACCTCGGAAATTTATGGGAGTTAGGTTCCTAGAGCACCCACAAATTGTGAGAAAGGGTGAATTTTAGATATGATCAGGAAAATACATACAATATCGATTTTTATATATTAAACCCTAAATATGCTGGGGGGGGGGAAGCCTGCTGGTGAGCTCAGTTGTTTTAGCGCCTGCTTATGCAAATGCAGTCAGGTACAGGAAACGGTGGTTCCATCCCTAGCTGCACATGCCTTACCAGACCGGCCCTTAAGGCAGCCTGAGCCAGCCCCCCGCTGCAAAAAAAAAAAACAAAAACAAAAACAAAAAAAAAAACCAAACAAGCAAAAAAACTAAATATGCTGTCTCCCACACTTAAAAAATTAATTTAATTAAAAACTTTATTAACAATGCCTACAAGCATATACTAATAAAAAAGAAAAATCAGTGTAAAAAAATTAATGCTTTAGAAGGTGCAGGGCATTTTGGTGGCCTATTAAGGCTTTACATTTGTGAGACAGCTACACAATGTACAGCAACCTATTATAGAGCAGGAATGGTGGTTCATCTGTCAGGGATAGGTTACTGGGCTAGTCAATCAGCAGTGAGGAGAACTGAGCAATACTCCCCGATTGGCTACTTGTAAACCTCCCACAAAAAAAATCAAATGCAGAGGATATTTTAGTTGCTGCAAAATTTCCACAATTTTTAGTTAGGTTCTAAGGGAAAATTTGCGAATGACTCAATGCATGAACGCTGAACTCCAACTTTTTTTTAAAAATTTATTTAGTGTGTGTGTGTGTGTGTGTGTGTGTGTGTGTGTGGCCAGCTCAGCCCACCAGGGGGCGGGGCTGGCTGGCATGTGGTGCTGGGGGATCGAACCGCGGTCCCTGTACTTTGCCAACCTTGTTCTAAGTAGGTGCTTTAGACCACTGAGCCATCTCTCCAGTCCCCTTGTTTTAGACCACTGAGCCATCTCTCCAGTCCCCTGAACTTCAACTTTGTGGCAGTATTCTGTATATAGTTCATTTCTTAAGATATATTTATTTAGATGCCTCACGGGTATGTCTTAAATTTCACATTTCTTCCTCTCAAACCTTTTCCCATTCTGTGTTTAGATGCCATCCATAAAAGGAATAGAAAACCCCTACAGGAAACAAGAGTCCTTGATTAACTGTATTATCTTCCACATCTAATTCTTGTCATTTCTATCTCTAAAACTTCTCTTTTTTTTTTGGTGGAACCGGGGATTGAACTCAGGCCCTTGCACTTGTCAGGGAAGTGCTATTCTACTGAGCCATCTCCCTGGCCCCTAAAATGTCTTTTCAACCATTCATTTTCCGAACTTCACCAAGATCCTATATTATCAAGGTTACAATACCAGATTCCTAACTGATCTTTCTGACTTCCATCTTGCCTTTTGCAATCTCTAAAATACAGGCTAAAAACCAACCAACAGAAGTAAGCAGAAAACATCAAAATGTCATTAACCTACTTCCTGGAGTAGGTCCAATGGCTGCACAAGTGGGCAAAAGGTCTAGATTTTTAATGTATTTTAAAGGTGCTTATTGGGTGAGCACTTAGTATGTATGAGTTCTCAGCAAATTGTCCAACACATAGCAGGCACCCCAACAACTGAAATTTAGTATGGTAGCAAAACTGGAAATATTACCTCTTTGATCAGTTCAGACTGGCCCACAGTGTAGCTGTAGTTTGCAATTAGGGTAGCAATGCCAACATAGGACCTCACCAACTCTGCCAGAAGACGAAGGATAGTGGAGGTAGGCATTAAAGGTTTGCTGCCCTTGCCTTTCTGCTTATTTTCCTCAGAGGCCCGATCCCCTTCTTTATCTTTCTTCCCATCCCGAGACTCTTCTGGAGTTGAAGCTCCTGAAAAAGAGGCAAACACTGGTTCGAATTCACACTATGGTAAAATCAAGGTTTCAGTAAAAAGAACACATCATCTACTCTGGGTCACTTGTATAAGCTGGATAGTCTAACCACACTACGATTGATAGACAGAGAACCAGAAGACCTAGACATCTATACATGAGATATAAAAAAGCAGGGAGACTTTGTTCAGCTGTTCATGTAACCCCTCATTTCCTTGTTTTTATATGTAATTTTATACTCTAGAAATAATTGTACTACCAGTTCTCTGACCATGCCTTGCACCCTCTCTCAACATCTTCCAACCTTACATTTGCCTGGCACACAATTACCTAGCTCAGCTCAAATGCTCCTTCCTCTATAAATGTCTCCTATATTACCTAGATATATGGAGATACTATGTGTAAACTATACATTTTCTAAGTACGCCTGCATTCCCAGTTGCCTTGCATTATAAATATTGCAGGCCTCCCTCAATAAAGTTCTTTTAAGTGTAAGGATTCATTTTATAATTCAAGTTTGCCACACAGTGGGCACTAGTATGGTATTAAGCCAATTAGCTCCTAAAGTAGATCTCAAAGTCCTTCCCTATTCAAGGTCAAACAGCTCTTGAAATTTCCTGTTGGACTTGTTTCCATGTGACACATCTTTAACTCATGGTGCATAGATAATGGGATGTTCTGACACTGCCAAAGTCCACTGCAAAGGGCATATACCTAAAATAGTATCATTAGCACCAAAAAGTAACTACTAGAAGATATATGACTTGTTTAAAGATTATAACTAAGGGGTGTTACCATAGCCATCACTAATAGGTTAAAAGAAACAGAAATTGCACTAACCTCAGCATAGAGATCCTTCCTTTACACAACTCCTGACAAAGTTCACTTTAGGTAAGTAAATGTGGGTATTACGCCTGTATTTTACTGACCTATGCCTACGGCACCCATAGCTTTTCCCCCATAGCTTCTTCAAGCTATCTTCTCAAGAATAACAGTAGAAGAGATAAGCAAATCATTACCCTCTCCTTGGGAGGTCCCAGCTGTAGAAGTCTCCCCAGATGTACCATCTGCAGCAAAAACCTGCGTCTGTGGAAGAAAAAAGATCCTGAGCCATTATAAATTTCAGACAGCTGTCCCAAAATGGCAGAACTCCTTTTCAGGATACCAGTGGGGAATGCTACAGATTTTGTTTGCCAATCTTTTAATCATATTCTTTCTCTATAATTGGTGGTAAGCTATCATTATCAACACATGACTCGGAGAGTAGGGAGAAAGAGAATTTCTAGGAATACTCCAAATTTCATTTTCAGGCAATAATTTGTAGACATACCTAAGTGTCTTTGAAATTACCCTGCCTCAATCCAAAATAGAGAATACCTAAGCAATGGAAAGAGAAGACAGAAACTGTAGTAAGTGACTTACATTTAAGGAAAAACTTGACTGTGTATCAAAGTCACTGCTATGACGTGTAAGTGACCGGTACTGCTGGTATACATCATCACCCATGTCTTGTAAGAGCTGGCCAACTTCCTGGGTCATACCCCCAGGTTTAGGATCCGATTTGTCTGCTAAAAAACAAAACAAAACAAAAACCCAACAAAACAAACAAAATCCCAGAAATAAACATCAACATTCACACATTATGTAAGTGATGTAAGTCTATCTTAAGTAAAACCCAGAATGCCTTGATTGGAATGGAAGCTTGAGTTCCAAGAAACTCAGTAATGTTTTTTCCACAGCACAGGAAACCATGTACTCTAATACTGCCCCAAGCTCTGGGCAATATAGTTTTTTGTTTTTCAGGGTTTTTTTGTTTGTGGAACTGGAGACTGAACTCAGATCTTTGCGCTTGCCAGGGAAGTGCTTATTCTACTGAGCCATCTTGTTTCTTGTTTTATTTTTTCGACTACGAAAATATTAGAAAATTTCTGGCATTTTATTCTCAGTCTGCTCACAATATGCTACTATCTCCTTTCAAATCTTTGTTTATTCTTCTCTGTGTATGTCATACACTCTCATAAAAAGATAATAGAGAAGAACAAACATCAGGAACCTTCCTACCTGCCCCAACCTTGCCAAGACAGCATGTGGCTCACCCTAAGATTCACCACTAATCTGGTTCCTATATTATGACTACTAGTTTCTTTAGAAATATGCACTTATTCAACTTCATCTCCAGAGCGCAGGTACAGTGTGAGTGCTATCAAGCCACAAGTTGGTTAAATGACTCAGGCAAAGTCATGTATTTTCTCTAGTGCCCAGCCTCCTGAGGTGGAGTAGCCACATACCTTCCTCTGGGGCATGGTATGCAGCCAGAGCATTCAGCATATCATAGATCACTTCCTTGATTGTATCGGGAATGACAGGTAGAGATGAAGGCTTCAAAGGGGTTGTTTTCACCAGCTGTACAGCATTAGGACCTTTAATCCTAAGATTCTCAAATTCATCATCTGAAGCTAAGCCAAAATGAGAGTAAAAGTAGTCAATAGTGAACTAGTACCGCCTAAACTTGGTTACTAAGAAAAATTTAGAAGGGGGGGGTCAATAACTATCATTTTTAAAATCTGGTTGAGATTAAATAAAAGTATACATGACAAATGTCTAGAACAAGACTAGGATTCCCAAAATGCTTAATTTGGATCCCCAAACTTTTTAGTAAAAATACAACTTCACAAACTCGTACATGAGTAGAAAAGGACAATACAATAATAATCCTTAGAGTTTTCACCTAGAATTACCATTCAATTACCACTGAATAGGTACACACATACCCATTAAGATCAAGGATACTTTTCCACATAACTACACTACCACTATAATATCCAGGAAATGTAACAAGGATACAATTATATTATGTAATAATAAAGAGCATCCAAATTATCCTAATCTCCATATCTGGCCAGAATTCAACAAAGTGGTGTTTGTTATTTTCTCTTCAGTCTCAAGAGAAGATGCGTATATTTTATCTGTTTACAACATTAATGTTTTTGAAGAATGTAGGCCAGATGTCTTATTTATAAAACATCCCAAAATTTACCCATTTTTTTACTCATAATGAAATAAAGGTCGTAACTTCTTGGCAGAAATTCAGATAATAGTAACTTTCCTGTTGTATCTCAAGTTACACATAATTTCTCAATTTTCCACTGATAAACTACTAATTGTAGGTCAGTCCTAACTGCCCCAGCAAGATGAACTTTTTGACTAAATGAGTCCTTGGAATCTCTGGCAGGACAACAACAGAAGAAAAGTTCAGAAAAACAATTCAAGTACAGTACCTTTTGAAGTGACTGGCCCAAATGGTCTGTCAAAGACGTTATACTTGCCTAGAAAGACCCCAAGTTTTAGATTTCCCCACAGAAAAAAAGTCTCTGGAGTTATACTAAGCTAAATACTTCATTGTTTTCAAGGCCCAGAATGAAATGAAACTAACCAGTTCCTGATCCTCGAGGGGCTGGAAGAGCAATGCGGATACAGCAGTTTGCCACTTCTGTGAATATGTCTGGATTACGGCATGCAGCTGGCCCAAGAACACGAAGGATGTAGTTGATCTCCCGAGAGCCTAGGCTGCCAGATACAACACCAGAGGTAGTGCTTCCAGCTCCACTTGTAGCTGCTGAGCGAACAACCTAGTGAAGAGAAGGGAAAACACCAGAGATGAAATACTACTTTCTAAAAATGTAACTATAGTCAAAGTACCATTACCAAAGATTAAAATATTAATAGAACTCTGCTTCTAAATAGTAGATGACAGCTTTGGATTTTTAGAAGATATACTTGGCCATCAAGTTCTATTCCAACCCCTTTCAATTCAAATACCACAGCTCATTAAAAAGCTTATAGTACATCTCAAAATTATGAATTCTTAGACCAGACTGTGTGTAATCTTTTTTTTTTCTTTTTTTTGGCAGTACCAGGGATCGAATTCAGGGCCTTGCACTGTGTATAATCTTAATAGAAATTGGAAGATCTATATAGATTAAAGATCCCATATAACTTCCACATTTATGTGTCAGCTTCTAGACTCCGGAAATGCTGTACTGATTTTAAGCCACAATGGTTCAAATTATGTAGCACTGGTATTCACTCAGTGTATAAAGAATAAAATTGAACACTTTTTTATGCCTCAAAGTCAAACATTAGTCTGAGATAACAGTCACAGAGAATATCAAACTACTACAGATTGTTTGCTTTTGTATTGGGGCTTAGACCTAACTAAGTTTTTGCTCTTCTCCCCAAACTGCTTGGCAATAATGGAAAATACAGGAATGTATTAAGAACTTGACATTTAAACTCAAATATAGGGGCTGGAGAGATGGCTCAGTGGTCTAAAGCACCTACTTGGAACAAGCTTGGCAAAGCACAGGGACCGCGGTTCGATTCCCCCAGCACCACATGCCAGCCAGCCGCGCCCCCTGGTGGGCTGAGCTGGCCACACACACACACACACACACACAAAATGTTAAAATAAAT